TGGCCCTCGTCTTCTCCCTCTGAACGTGTGTGTGTGTGTGTTTCTGTGTGTGACTACCTGACTACCTGTGAAGTTCAAGAATCCCAGTAAAAATTCCCAACAAGGTCTCTTTCCTTTTCTATAAAAATAGATTTTTAAAAATCTTTTTAAATTTTTTTTCTGTTCCGTTTCCTACTTCACCTTTTCCATGTATCCCCTTTTTTCACTGCTTTGTTAGGTCACCAATTTTATGTCGGAAGAGAGAAAGGAAGAGCCCCTCCCAGCTCCCGCCCCTTCCCTTTTCTGACCTACTGAGAAGCGAAAGAGCCCAATTTGGAGTGGGGGGGGGGTCGGCTGCCTCCTGCTGCTCCCTCTCCCCAAAGGCCCCAGGCGAGTGGTCCTGCCAACCCTTCAGTCGAAAGCCAGCCAGCCAGCTCGGCTCAGGAGAGAAGGCCAAACCCAGCACTTCCCCGGCCCACCGCCTCCCTTTCAAACAGGGAGCGTGTCCCCAGTTCCGATCCCAAAAGGAATGTGGCTGCTCTAAGCCTGCCTAAAAGCCATTAGGATGGACGAGCGGACTCCACTGAAAGCCCCCAGCATCTCTGCCCGAGACACCCGGGGTGATGGGCCATGCCCTCCTGGGAACCCAAAGCGTTCACGGAAACAAGCAAATTAACAGGCACGATTTGCTGACTCGCAGGGACACCGTGTGCTCCCAAAGTGGTGCTGAGATTCCCCGCGGGAACAAAGCTCCTTCCAGAACTCTCAGGCAGGGTCCACATTCCGGACATGCACAGGATTGGGACTGGCCTTATTTCCCAGAAGCACTGGCATCGAGGGCCGGGCCAAGTGGTGGGATTAGCGACAACGACCGCTAACCCTCCGGATGACTCAAGGAGGATATCGGAGGCCTCGCCTCGGCGAGGGCAAAGGTGGCGGCCTGGACCATTTAAGCGCCGCTCCCGAGGCCGAGGGAGAAGAGCAGGGATGCCTTCCTTTCTTGGGTTTGTGGACCCACAACGGCCTGACACTTGGGCGGGGGGGGGGTCTGTTACACCTGGCAAAGAGTGGCTTTTATCCTCCAGTGCCCCACCAAATGAGCGACATGGGGGTGGGGGGTGAGAATCCATCGGGTGAAACAAGAATGGACAGAATTGGGAATGGTTTCTGTTTGGCCTTGAGCGGGGGGGTTCTAGGAAAGCGTAGGATGGGGGGGCGTGGGGGGGTCCTCAAGCTTTAGAAACAGAGAGAGAGAAAGAGAGAGAGAGAGATGATGTCGTACTTATTTGGAGTGGACGCGCCTCCCCCGCGTGTTACCAGAGCAGGGTCGGACCATCACAGAGTGGCTGACGGTTTGCTGTGTCCGTGCTCCCCCCGTGGGGCTGTCGGGCACAGGGGAGGAGGAGGGGGAGAGCCTCCCGCTCCCCAGAGAAGATCACGGTGTCTGGCGGTTGAATATTCGGCAACATTGAGTCAATGAATATTTCCATCCGGTCGCGGAGTCGGGGAAGAGGGCTGTTCCCGGCGCGCGGGCCGCTCCTTCCTCCCCTCCCCCCGCTCGCTCACGCCTTGTGTTGCTTACTGGTCTTGAAGGACACCTGGAGGATCCGGTCGCCCAGTCGGTAGCCGTTCAGGCTGGCGATGGCCATGGCGGCTTCGTCGTAGTTGGTCATGGTGACGAAGCCAAAGCCCTTGCACTTGTTGGTGGTGAAGTCGCGGATCACTTTGACGTTGGTGACGGCCCCGAAAGGCCCAAAGAGCTGCCACAGGACACTCTCGTCGGCCTCGGGGGAGAGGTTGTACACAAAGATGCACCAGCCCGCGCTGGAGGCCCCCGTCAGGTTGACACCCGCCAGGCTGGTCATGCTGTCGATCGTGATGGGAGAGAACCTGGAGATCAAGGAGAGAGGACTACTTTGGGTGTAAGGCTGGCATTCCACCAGCACCGCCTCACTGGGCGATGGAGCGGTCTGGGGAGGCACAGTCTACCCACAGGGAAAGGCCTCTGGGGGAGGCACCGCCCGTCCACCTGTCTATATCTCACCTCCCACAGGCAACAAGGGAAGGGTGCTAGTCGCCCAGAAAGCTTGCAGTGGGACCGTGCCCATCTGTGGAAGACAGCACAAAAGCCACTGACGAGAGATAACCAATCTATGAAATGCGTAATAATAATTCAATAGTGCAAAAATAGAATTACATAACAATATTGGCCAACGTGTAACCAAGATACAGAAGGAAGAATAATAATGGAAAGAAGAATAAAGTCCCAAGCATTTTACTGTGTCTCACTCCAGTAGCGTTGTAATATCAAAGTCCAATTTGACGTGCAATTCACCATGGAGTGGACATAGGGCTCTAAACTGGCTTTGTATGTGCTTTCTAGTGAGATTGGGTCCCCTTATAGCCTATCGCTTTTGAATAAGAACAACTCGAAACATGGCAGCCGGCAGCCAGACTACGCGTCATGAAATGTCCACTCCATGGTGAATTGGGCTTTATTCTTCTTTCCATTATTATTCTTCCTTCTTTTATTCTTCTTTCCATTATTATTCTTCCTTCTGTATCTTGGTTACACCTTGGCCAATATTGTTCTGTAATTCTATTTTTGCACTACTGAATTATTATTGCACATTTCATATATTGGTTCTCTCTGGTCAGTGGCTTTTGTGCTTTGTCCCTGCCCTTGTACCCTGGCTCCCCTTCTTTTTCGGTTGCATCCGAGGAAGACAGCAGCGGCTCATGGGCCCTGAGGCCGACCCCAGCAGCAGCCCCGTCCCCGTCGTGTTCCCACATCTCGCTAGCCAACCTTCCTGGAGACGGGCTGACCCCTCGGCCTGCCCTCCGGCTTCAGAGACCCCGTCGGGCCGTGGGCTTCACGGCACTTCTGGCTAAACCTTCTCAGGCGCAAAGTGTGTGTGTGTGGGGGGGGGCTCGGGGGGCTCATCCGGGGCTGCCTGCTCTCTGGGACCTGAAAAAGCTCATGAGGCAAGAGCAGAAACGTCGCGTGGGATTTGGTGTGCTGTGAAAACCCCCGTTTCCAAACTGAAGAGAGCACCACCAGACAGTTGAGAACTTTCAGTGGTAGCAAACGACACCCTAGGAAATGGGCCAGCTGAGGGTTGGGGGGGGGCTGTTTCTCAAGCAAATCCAGAGGCGAGGTGCGGGCCGACCCACGCCTCTCTCCCCTGTCCAATTCTGCGAGTGCCCATGGCCCTCTCATCCCTCCCGTCTCATGCTATCCCAGGTGCGTGGAAAACGTCACACTCTTTGATAACCTGAAGCTTTGCACTCATTTCCACAAGTCGCTCTGTATCCGGTGTGTGTGTGTGTGGGGGGGATTGTTTGTCTCTGCCTCAAGAACGGGCCCGTAGCCACAGTGGGGGCATCTCGGGGCTAGGCCCCCTGACTCCCCATCTAGCCCAGGGTGTCACGGCCTTCTCCCCTGGATTAAATTGATCAGCCAGTGCCCCCCTAAGAAATTTAAATGCCCCCCTGACTTTAAAAAATCCTGGCTACGGGCCTGCTCAAGAATGTAGGAAACCTTCACCCTGCTGGCTATCCTCCTGCAACCTGGCCGACGGAGTGGCGGCAGCCGCGCTCCCTGTGACTGTTCAGACAACCTGCTCCCCTCAGGCCAGGCCAGGCCAGGCGTGGCAGAGTGGGGGGAGTGAGCCTCCTCTGACACCCCGTCTGTCACGCAAAGGGGACAGTTTGCCGCCTCGATCAACGGCTTCCCAGTCGAGGCACACGGAAGACTGTTGACCTCGCAACTACTCCACACCGCTGGTAAGCAAAGGGGCACATTTCACCGGGGGACACCCCCCCCATGATTTTGTTCTGGAGCACCCGCGGCATGGCTTCGCAGGATTGGTGCCGGCGTGGCAGACTGCCTGAGGCACCGTTGCGGGGAGGGAGGGGAGCCAAAGCAGTCCTTGGTCCGTGCGTGCGGGAAGCCTCCTCTCCTTCCCACGGGGGAATGCCGGTGTCCCCCCCCCCCGGGTTTGTGCCCCCCCAGCTTCTCTTTGGATCCCCCCACCAATTATCTCCTGGCCGGGGCCGACTCGAGCAGCCAGCCCGGGCGCGGCCTCACACCAGGCTCTGCCCTCTCCTGCTATCTACGCGGCCGCCCAGACCAACGGTGCCCTCTCGGAGGCTTTCTGAGAGAACTGCGGAGCTGTAGTTAATGGTCAGGGGGCCTCCTCGGTCGTCTGTCCCCCCCCCCCCGCCCCAAAGCAGCAGAGCGTCAAATGAAACCAAGAAGCACCAAACAGACGGATGACAAAGAGCAGAAGCAGGAGGCACAGCCAGACAAGGAAGCCCCTCGCCCCCCCCCCGCCGGGCCCAAGGCGGGAGGCGGGGGCAGGAAAGGGGAGCCCGTCTCCCCGAGACACGCAAGCCCCTATGTTGCAGACCCCCCCCCCAGCAGTTCTGTCATGGAGGCCCTTCCTTTTACACTTCCCACGCTTCCTGGGGGCGGGGAAGCGACTCGGAGACAGACAGGTAGTCCGGGGGGGGGCGCATAACTGAACCAGGCAGCCAAAAAAATCAAGGTGCTGGTGTGGTGTGGCGGAAGGGCTCGGGTGGCCCGCCTCAGGGGACACTCTCCCTGCCCTCCACATCATGAACCCCCCCCAGCATCCTTTTCCTACAAAGAGCCGTGCGGCTGCTGAGGCCGAGGGAGGGGCCCTTGCCTTTTGACACGCCAGCCTTGCGCTGCGGACTGAGGTGGGGAGGGGAGCGGGTGGGGGGAGCTCGGGATGGCTATTTACCTCTTGACGCCGTAGGCCATGTTTAGCAAATTGTCGAGCCTGTGGGAGGAAGAGGAAGATGAGGAGAGGCCAATGTTAGTAGACGATCTCGTTAACAGAAAGGCCCTGCGAGGTCCTCTGGTGGGGGGATGGGCGGGGGGGGGTAGAGCGGCCGCCATGGGGCCACTGCGAGGAGGAGGAGCAGCACAGGCCGCCGCCGGGGGGGGGGAAGGGGCGCAAAGGTGCCTTGCTTTAAAAAAAATGCCAAAAACTAATAGCAACGGGAAAGATGCCCCGGCACCAGCTATTTTTAACCTGTTTCTGCACATTGGGGAGGTGTGGGGAGTGGGCAGGCAGGAGCAGCACAGCCAGCCGCCGGGGGGGGGAAGGGGCGCAAAGGTGCCTTGCTTTAAAAAAAATGCCAAAAACTAATAGCAACGGGAAAGATGCCCCGGCACCAGCTATTTTTAACCTGTTTCTGCACATTGGGGAGGTGTGGGGAGTGGGCAGGCAGGTGTTAAGGGCCATGGGGGCGATGATTCCAGCACAGCGAGGAGGCTGGCGATAAGCATCCTTTAGGAAAACACACACCTGCCGCAGTACACAGCAAAGATCTTTTGCAGGTCGAACTCGCCACCATGGTGTGGCATTGCCGTTGTCTTCCCTCCGCGGGAGGGCAAGCTCAGCTTTCCTGCAGCAACCCTCTCTGCCCACGGTTTGTTCTAAAAACCTGCGTGGGTGACCTCCGGCCCCAGAAGTTCAAGCATCTCTGCTTAGGGTTTTTTTTTAAATTTTATTTTAAAAACAAGTTCCTGGCCCTCAGGATTGTTGGCAAAACCTAAACCCTCCCAAATTTCTGCTCCAGCCTCCAGTGGCCAAATCCTCCGCTGCGGTCTTCGTGCTCATGAGCTAGTCTCCACTGCCCACCCCGGACAGAGCTTGGCTTTGCCCAAGAGTTACAGCTCTCCAAAGAAGTTTGCACAACAGGGCAACGTTCTGTAAAGAAACCCGCAAACTGTGCAGTGGGGTAACCTGTGCACATAGCAGGAAATGCACCCAATGCGTATAATGTAGCCCTGCTGAGTTCAGAGGTTACCACTGAGATACTTGGGAGCCTCTGGCCAGTTTGCGTGTCCACGTGTGAGCGAAATACACTTTTATCAATTAGCCGCAACAGTTTTCAGACCCAAGTATGTGTCCACAGCCTGCTTTTTATAGCTTTGTTGCAAAGGCATGTTAAATGAACCACGCATACACACATGCACACACAAGGAAACTATCTTCGTATGTGTATGGCTTTTACACGTGTGTTCACATGACTGCACACTACGCAGATGCTGTCCTGTTCTAACAATAGCTACGTTGAGGGCAGACTCTGCCAGGAATGCTTTTGCCTTCCAAGGGGAGTGCCCTCAAAGTACTAATCAGCCGGGAGAACGGGAAGAAAACAGTATGCTGGCCATTGAATCGGACTTGGGACACCATCCAAGGGAAAAACCAGATTACCAAAAGGCACACAGTAGGTCACGCTCAGCATCTTCTGGCCTTCAGAAATGCAAAACTTCTTCAGCATAAGGGAAGGGCAGCTGCCGAGGAATATCTGTAGATGCCCTGAGTCAGGGGTCATTTCGAGCCGGAACGGGCAGGAATGGCGTTCCGGGAGTAACAAGTAAACTCCTCCCCCCCCCTTTCCTTTTGCCTCACCTCCGAGCGGGGTGGGGGGAGGGAGAGAGAGGGAATCCAGGGCTTCTTCTGCCTGACAGAGGGGCCAGCAGACCAGCCCCTCTAACAGGCAGAAGCGCCTGGGATCCATCCCTTCCCCCCTCCTCTCCCATTGCCTCACCTCCATGCGGGGCGAAGGGAAGGGGGGAAGAAGGGAACCCAGTAGAAGCTTCTGCATGAGAGCAGGGCCAGAAACATCTGAAAGACGCGTGCCACCTCTGCGGAGCGACTCCAAAGACTGAGGGGGGTTGCGCCACGGTGGCAGCACGCTCCCTTCGTTGAAGGGAAGGCAATTTGCCATCCCTTCAATGATGAAAGCCTGCCACCACCACCACCCGCAACTGGGGAGGATCGTTATACCCTATGGAGACAGTCCCCGATCTGGTCCGGATCTTCCTCAGCTAAGAATGTTTGCTCATGAAGATGCTTTTGGCTGACAAGATCAAACTATTTTAGCGATTCGAACATGACTGAATGCCTAACAACAACAACAACAACGTTTTTAATTTCAGAGTTTTTGTAGAAGCAACTGTCTTGTTTGTTTATGGATCCAACTATCCACAAATTTGGCCATGTCAAGAATCAAATAGATTTATTATGATTGATTTATGCTTTGATTTTGTCAGCCAAAAACATCTCCATGAGAAAACATTGTTAGCTGTGGAAGATGCGAACCAGTAGGGAAGTACCTAGCCAGCGGCCGTCCATCATCGATGGCAGTTGAAAAGACACTGGGTCAACCCTCGCCCATAACAGAAGCAGCACCTGTAGCTACAGGGAAGGAATTCTCTCAGTGGCCCTTGTTTGTCAACCACAGCAGTATTTCCAGCCTTCAAGCATTTGTTTCTGTCAGGAAATGTAGGGGGAGAGAGCATGTCAGGCCTGACAGCAGCCACTGGACAACTTGACACCATGAAACCTGCATAACTCGTGCAGGCCCAGCGGCTTGCTACTGCTCAGCAGCCACTGCCCCATGAAGTGTTGTGTAGTGGTCAGTGTTCCAGACAAGGATTTGGGAGACCCAGGTTGGAATCTGAATTGGAAAATACCTGGAGATTTTTGGGGTGGAGCCTTCTGACACACTTCTGGTGATGTCAGGGGGTGTGGGATATGCACATGAGTTATGCGAATGAGCTCCTGCACCTCCTTTTCTACGAAATGACCCCTGCCCTGAGTTAGCAGGCCTGGTCTGGGTCAACTCATTGTGTGTGGGGGAGCTTGAGAGGACATTCCTGCCCCTGGTGAGAGAACCTGGCTGAGGGGGAGGGGTTGCCGGCCAGCCTCCTCTGAGCCTGTGACTCTCCGGATTCCAAACCTAAACTCTTCCTCAAGGGTCAGGAGAAGACGCCCGGCCTCCACACGTGCTCCTGTCCTCACAGATCACAGCAAACACGGGGAGACGAAGGCCCACAGAGAAGTGGCAGACATTGCCAAGTGCTCTGCTCGTGGACTCAAGGGAGAATCCCGCTGCCCATGGAGAGAAACATTCAGCCAGGTGGGGAACTTTCCACAGAGCTTTCTGGGGGGGGGGGGGAGTTCTCGAACCTCCCAGGAAGTTATTTGTTCGCCAGCAGAGAAGGCAAAAAAGGCCACCATCTGAAACGATCTACACTAGTTGGCCGAGAAGAAAGTTGGGAGTCCGGTGGCACCTTGAAGACCACCACGGCGACCCGCCTGAATCCTCCACTCGTGGCTGCAGCAGGTTCCACGGGAGGCTGCCTTTCGAGACGAGCTAGGGACTTCGGCGGGTGCCAATCGCGGGGCCCCGTCTGCCGGCAAGGATCGGCCCCTGGGCTCCTGCTGCTCCCACGCGGAGGTTCCTAGTCCAAGAATTGCCCGCCAGATTCGGGGCTAGTTCAAAGTCTACGGTTTACACCTTTCGAGCCAAATGCACGCCTGGGACCCACACGCAGGGAGGACCGCCCCCGCCGCCTGTTCCCCGGGCGCCAGCTTCATTTCCCCAGCGGGGCCTCTGTCTGGAGCACTAGGCTGGGCTGCGGCTTTTGCGGAGGCCACCACCGCCCTCACGGAACAGCCTCCTGGAAGAGGGCGGGGCAAAGCCCGAGAGCTGAGCCACTGAGCACTTGAGAGCCTTGGCGAAAAGAAAAGAAAATGCTTCTTGGCTCCTATAGCGTTGCTCTATTTTCATGTGCTTTCAATGGACTTGAAATGTATAGTACACGGTTATCTGGCTGTTTCCCACCGTGGTTCCTGACAGTGCAGGAGAGATACAGAGCAGAAATACGGAGCACGAAAGTGCTGGTTTTGGAGGGGCGTTCAGGGAGGCTCCGTGTGAGATGTGGCCGCGCTGGGGGCAGAGCACACGAGGGCTCCTAACCGCACAACTCTCACACAGCCATGACCTCCAGAGGCAAAGGAGTGCTCCAGCAGGCTCCTCTGGGGAAAGGAAGGCTAAATGCCCCTTAAGCCCCCCGAGCTGGCAATAAAGGAGAGGGGCTGCCCCCCCCCCCCGGCCTCCTCCTGGCACACCCCAGTGCCCAAGCTGCCCTTCCCAGTTCCCCAGGCCTCCCCGGCTCTTGCCAACCTCCCTCTTGCCTGATGGAGCCTCCGGCCGTCCCCTCCTCACACGATCGACACTGGAGAAGACAGGAAGGCCGCCCCCTCCCACCACAACCCCGGGCCCCCCACAGTTGGCTGGGGAGCAGGCTGCGTGGGTGTGAGCGGCCCCCGCGCGTGGGGAGGACGGCCAGCCACCAAGGATGGGGGTACGAAGCAGTCTGCGGGAAGCATGTGCTACACAACGGGGAGCCACACAATGGTCGTTTCAGAAAGAAGCAGCGGGCCGTTTCACACGTGACATTTCCCAGCAGCGGCGCAGAGAGGAGGCCGTGCAAACTCGTGTACAGCTTTGCACACAAAACCCACGTGTGTCTGGTTTACCACAAGTACGTGAGGATTGAGAAGCCACAATCGGCCGCCGGGAAAGAGAGCTGTGTGCTGCTTTGCCACGCAGTGGTGCGTGTGAGAGGGTTTCCCCCTGCAGCTGTCCAGGGCCACGTGGGGAAAATGTCACATGTGACGCAGCCCTGGCACATACACATGGAAAAACATGACATGGCACATACTGGGTACTGAACGTTTGCTGCAGACCTAGACTCCCGGGCGGCCCCCAGGCCCCCAGAAACAAACTGGATGGAAGACACCGTAGCTGTTCCGTTCGGTTCCCGTCTGGCTTCAGCACTGCTGCCTGGCGTCGGCACGAGTCCAGCCTAGACCCGCCTCCTTCGAGCGACCTTCGGGATCTGTCCCTGAGCACACGATGCACAGGTCCCTGCAGGGACCACGCTGGGATCCGCAGATGCCCGGAACGAGGCTTAGGGAGAGGCCCCACTGCGCCCGTAGAGTCAACCCCAAAGCGGCGGCCTCACGGGGGCGCTCAGGACTCGGACCCCTGGCTCCTGAACACGCCCGACACTGTGGGCCGGCCTCACCGGCAAGGGTGATGGCTCTGTAACCCCTCGCACCAGGTGGGAGTCTGCCACAGAGGGGCAGATTTGGAGGGGTGGAGCCTGGGGAGGGCGGGGTTTGGGGAGGGGAGGGTCCACAGCGGGGAACCATGTTACGGAGTCCACCCTCTACAGGAGCCATTTTCTCCAGTGGAACTGACCTGCCTGGTCTGGAGAGCTATTCTAATAGCAGCGGGAGGGCCCCCACGGCTGGACCTCCTGAGGGCACCTGGTGTTTCTGACCCCTGTGTGACACAGAGTGTTGGACTGGAGGGGCCACTGGCCTGGTCCAACATGGGCTTCTCTCTTCTGTTCTCATGAGATCTCCTGGTGCCACCTGGAGTTTGGCAACCCTAGGCCCATGCCAATCTATTCTCCAGTTCAACGGGGAAGTGACACACACACCCCTGCACACACACGGACACACTCCCTGAATACTGGATGAACCCACTTCTGGTGCTGAAACCAGGTGGGGGGAATGGTGCAGGGGGCGTGCTGGGCTGCCTCCCCCTGGGACCTGCGGGCAGAACCGAGCCGCCTGGCCTCCTACTCCCCTCCCCGCTGGCAACAGAAGTCTTCCGCCAAGCGCTGACTTTCCCACGAGGCAAGGGCTGCATGAGTGGACTCTCCCTTGCGAGGACCGGTCTGTTCCAACTCAGCGTTCCAGCATAGGAGGGGGCCCTTCTCACCGGAAGCCTGCCTGCCTGCCTGCCTCCCACAACTCAGCACGAGAAACGCATTGGTGGCCAGCGGGTGGTACCACTGGTGCTGCCCTGTGCTCTGGCCGCCGCTCCAGGAGGAGGGGAAGGGGCCCAGATCTGGGACAAGGAGCCCCCACCCACCCACCCCAGCAGGGTCCTCGGGCAAACGTAACGCCTGCCGGATGTTGCAAGACGAGGTTCTGGGACCTTCACGGCCTATCCTCCCGCCCCCCCGACCCCGTGGGCGCCAGACCGGACAGACACGGGCCCCACCTTGGGCCGTGGCCCTCTGGGTCCTGCGCCCCCCCCCGAGCAGATGGGGGGGCCTCCTTCGGTGGGGGGGGAGGGGACGGCGTCTCACCTGAAGCGCTGGGTCTGGTGGTGCAGGGGCCCGGTGTACCGCCGGGCGGTGGTCTGGTAGAGGTGGGTGAGCAGCGCCTGGCCCGTCTTCTGGCTGGGGTTGTTGGCAAACTTGACGGTGATGGGCTCGCTGGCGCCCAGCGGCTTCTGCCCGTTCAGGCCCTTGATGGCCTCCTCGGCCTCTATCCTCTTGTCGAAGCGGATGAAGCCCACCCCTCTGGAGACGCCTGCGGGAGGAGAGGGACCCCTGCACAGTCCGGGGAAGGAGGAGCCGGGCGGCCGGGGGACCGGGCACAGTCCGCCTGCCACGGGAGCAGACCTGGCCCACGGGGGGGGGGGGGGCGCCTGTCCAGGGTGGAAGCCCCGTGAAGACTCCCCCCCCATCTTCAGAGCCACCCCCTGGCCTCGGGTTCATCGCATCATCGGCGAGGGGCACACGCGAGGGAGCAAGCCGACAGCACGGCTGCGCACTGAGGACGCAACGGGCAGCGGGAGGAACCCCCGAGGCAGGGGCCGGGGGCTCAGCAGAGATGCGGTGCCAGAGGGACGTGGTACCCCGGAGCCAGATGCCTCTACAGAGGAGCCCCTTCGTCCCAGATACTTGGGGGGGGGGGCACACTCGAATGAAGACTGGCACTCGCTCTTACTTCAGCAGCTGTAGGGTCATGGCCCTGGTATTCCAAAGCCGGCCGCTCCTAGGAGTAGAGGCGGGACTGGAACCCAGCTCCCTAGCTGCGCGGCCACATCATCCACAAGGCTGGGGGGGGCAGCCCTCCCGTCGGGTCCCCACTGCAGAGAGGCCGGGCAGCAGACCTCTGCGGCGAGGGGTGGCCTTGAGCCCTGCCGGAGCCCCAACAGGTAGAGACGGAGCGTTACGGGAACCTGCCTCACTTCTGCCTCTGAAGACTTGAGGGGGAGGGCACCCTTCCATTCAACCCTCTGCCGTTGGAGGGCTATTCCCCCCCCGCCCAGGCTTAAAAATAGTTGGTAATAGCAACGTCCCGAAGAGTGTTGTTTATTTAATTTTTGATTATTTTTTTAATCCCACCCCTCCCCCAGAATGGGGGCCTCAGGGCAGCTCACAGCAGAGCAATACAGGAATAATAATAAAACTGTGGCTTCAATGCAATCCAGTTAAAAACTCAGCACATGACAGACGTGATGCTTTTGGCACAAACACCGAGCAGCACTGAGGACCAGTCCGGGGGCACCTTTCAGACCAACAAAGTCCACCAAAACTACATTAGTGGAATGCCTGGTGGAGTTGCTCCGTCTTACGTGCCCTGCGGAACGCGAGTAGGTCCCGCGGGGCACGCATTGAGGGGCCACCGCAGCAAAGGCCTTCCACAGCTGTAGTGACCTTCTAACCATCTGTTGCGGCAATGGACTAACATCCCACCTTTCCTGTGTGTGTGTTTTTTTTAAGTTGGTCTCTAGTTCTTTTGGCTTTAGAGTTATAAAGAGACATGCGCGGCCAGTACCTTTCCCCGTACATCTCTGCCACCAAAAGAGCTAGAGATTTACATTTTTTTAAAAAAAGCTGTGAAACACCACATTGTTGCAACAGACTCTTATCATGCTATAGCACTACAGCAACCTGCGAATTACCTCTTTTTTTTTTTAAAGAAAAGCCTGGAAAAAGCCCTCCGGCGGGAGGGGAAAATGTCACCTGTGGGTGCTGAGGTAGGAAAATGGCGTCAAAGTGAGAGAGACGTGCAAAAACCTGCACCTTCCAGTCTCCGTGGCACGCAAAGGGCGCCTTGATGGCCACCCTTCCCAAAAGATCGTATCTGGCCCGGTCTGGGAAAGACTGCCACTCCACTCCCAGAGGAGCCTGTCGGGGGGTCGAGACAGCCAACGTGCCAGGGGGCCTCCGCCTTCGGAGGCAAGTCGGAGAGGCCTCTTGGTAGCACCACCCTTTCCCTGGACTCCATCCCCACACCTGTTGGCCGGACACACACTTTGGCCACTAAAACCATCCCTTTTTGACCGGCAGCATTTGGCTGCAAGAGAACCGAGCTCACTGATAATGGGGCCGGTCACTGGGGAAAGATGGGCCCAGCATTAGGAGGCTTATTTGATTAAAATGGTCCCGCTCCGCCTTTTTGACCTCATGGCAGCCGACAACCCGGCATATAAAACTGACAGGACCTAGAAAAAGGAGAAAAGCAGGGAAAGGAGAAGCGTCTAAGAACACAAGAAGAGCCCTGCTGGATCGGACCAATGGTCCATCTAGTCCAGCATTCTGTCTCACTGGCTGGCCCCTGTGTGAGACGGGATACTGGACTAGATGGACCATTGGTCTGATCCAGGCAGGGCTCTTCTGGTGTTCTTAATTCTGTTTCTCCTTTTTCTAGGTCCTGTCAGTTCTTTACCCGTCATTTTAAAGGGCGAGTTGTCGGCTGCCGTGAGGTCAAAAAGGTGGAGTAGAACCATTTTAATCAAGTAAGCCTCCAAAGGCTGGGCCCATCTTCCTCCAATGGCCAGCCCTGTTAACCATGAACTTGGTTCGCCCACGCCTGGCATTAGGAGGCTTCTTTGATTAAAATGTTTCTACTCCACCTTTCAACCTTATGCAGTACTGTGCTACAGGAGGGGGTGGCAGCTACAAGCATGGACGGCTTCAAGAGGGAATTGGATAAACATATGGAGCAGAGGTCCATCAGTGGCTATTAGCCACAAGGTATAGACAGGGACTCTGGGACAAGGGATGCTCTGTCTTCTTGGGGTCAGGGGCAAGAATGGGAGGGCTTCTCGTGTCCTGGCCCCACTGCTGGACCTCCTGATGGCCCCTGGTATTTCTGGCCACTGTGTGACACAGAGTGTTGGACTGGATGGGCCATTGGCCTGATCCAACATGGGCTCCTCTGATGTTCTTGTGTTCTTAGTGCTGGATCGCCCTCTTGCTGATCATTACCTGTGACCTGGTCGACGAGGATGCGGGATGTGATTATGCGCCCGTACTGCGAGAAGAGCTGCTCCATCTCTTTCTGGCTCATGGTCTTAGGTAGGCCACTGACGTAGAGGTTGGCGTCGCGGATGGAGGCCGAGCTGGGCCGGGCGTAAGACACCTGGAGGGGGGGGGATGGAGGAGAGGGCCTTTTATTTCCCCAAACCGTGCTTCTGGTGCATTCCCAATGTGGACGGAACCTGGGTCAAAACTGTGGCCTTCCAGGAGGAGGAGGACGAGGGGGAGGCAAGGCACGGAAGGCAGAGGTTTTTCTCCAGGCTTCCCGACTTCCTCATTTTCTTTCTTTTCTTTTTTAAACTCACAAAAACCCTTTTATTTATGCTTAGACTCAAACATATCAACAAACTTGCCTAAACCATTTTATTTCTTGCAGCATTCTCTGCCAAAAAAGGAGAATGCAAGTCAATAGCTTTTACTTTATACAAACTTAATGCTTCCCCTTTAAAGGTCTGTAATAAAGAGCTAGATCTAGAACACAGACAGGTGTTTTTACGTCGTCGTAAGCCAGATGTGCACACTATTTAAAACTGCTAAAATAGGGTCAACTTCATGCTTTCACCTGGTGTCTTTAATCAGGGTTATTATTTTAGCAATTAATTGGTCACAGTTACATGGCTTTCAACGATCACATACACCAATAAGGATTAATTTTCAGGGATAAAAAGCTTTAAACAGAAGATATCAGATACTGAATTAGTGTCATCCCTTGCTTCTGGGGTGCCCTTGGCAGTTCTTACGGCTGGCCACAGGTTTTGCCTGCACAGAAACACTTTGGTGGAGGCGCATGGGCCGACCAGGCACATAGATGAACAAGCTATGCATACTTGCCAGGGAGTTGCACAATGCTCCCTCTAAGCTGCGGAGTCCTGTGAGCAAAAATTCTACTTTGTGAGCTGCCGGCATTTAAATTGTGAGCGAGCAGTTTGGCTGCTGCATAAATTAGTTTGCTCTGGAGCCCTCCTTCCCGGGCAAAGACAAAAATGTGTGAGCTGGAGGCTAAAGAACTGTGAGCTGGCTCACACTAACTCAGCTTAGAGGGGACACTGGTTCCTTGGCTCTCTGGCTGCCCAGATCTCCTTACTGAGCCCTGGATTCTCATTTGGATCTCGGGGCTGAGCCTCCCCTTCTGGCTTGACTTCCCTCCTGTCTTCCTCCCTTTCCTTGAGTGGCAGAACTTGCTCTCGTTCTGTCTTTGGACTCAGCCTCTCATTTTGGTCTCCTAATTCCCCCACCTATTTTTTTAAAAAATACTGTTTCTCTTAATTAAGTCTCCTTTGTCATTTGCAATTCTTTGTGGCCTCGCTGTAGGCCTCGCTCACTGTCTTGAGTCCTCGGGAAGAGGAAGGTGGACCAGTTTGGTGTAGTGGTTAAGTGTGCGGACTCTAATCTGGGAGAACCGGGTTTGATTCCCCACTCCTCCACTCGCAGCTGCTGATGTGACCTTGGGTCAGTCACAAGCTCTGGCACAGCTGTCCTTGGAAAAGAGCAGTTTCTGTGAAGAGCTCTCTCAGCCCCACCCACCTCACAGGGTGTCTGTTGTGGGGAGGGGAAGGGAAAGGAGTTTGGAAGCCGCTCTGAGACTCCAAGTGAAGGGTGAGGTATAAATCCAATCTCCTCCTCCTCCTTCTCTCTCAGCCGCACCTGCCTCACAGGGGGTGTCTGTTGTGGGGAGGGGAAGGGAAAGGAGTTTGTAAGCCGCTCTGAGACACCTTTGGGTAGTGAAGGGCCATGGGGTATAAATCCAATCTCTTCTTCTTCATCATCTGTCTTGAAGAACTGATTCGCCACCCAGTCAAAGATCCTAATTTCTGTGGTGCCGGGGGGGTGGGGGGGCACACACATCCCTGAACTTCCATTTTAGGAGCACTGTAGGGAACGGCTCCCGGGATCCTTAGCTTGTGCCTTTGCCAGTGTTTAAATACCTTGTAGGTACAAAGTGAGTGGCTACAGAGGAGAGGACGTTTCTCCATATTAAGTCTTGAAGAAGGGTTGGATTTATACCCTGCCCTTCACTCGAAGTCTCAGACTGGCTTACAATCTCCTTCCTTTCCTCTCCCCACAACAGACACCCTGTGAAGTAGGCGGGGCTGAGAGAGCTCTGAGAGAAACTGCCCTTGAGAGAACAGCTCTGAGAGAACTGTGACTGACCCAAGGTCATCCAGTTGGCTGCGTGTGAGGGGAGGGGGGATCAAACCCGGTTCTCCCAGATTAGAGTCTGCGCTCCTAACCACGACACCAAACTGGCAAGCGGGCTCTCTCTGAACAGCAGGATGGTCTCCAGAGCAGGCGTGCCTGACTGCACCACGTGGGAACACTGTGAAAAGTGGGAGGCGGCAGGAGGTCCCAGCCTTCCCTCCTCCTCGGCCTCCAATTCAGACCCTCAGTGCCTCTTGCTCTGCCAATCACTTTCTCGAGAGAGCGCCCGAGATTTATACTGCAACCTGCTCGGGGCAGAGACCTGCCCTGTCACTGTTACGCTCATGAATCACGTGACCTAAGGGATAACAATCCTGCCTCTCCCTAGTCCCGATTTATTTCGCACTCGGACCCAGGCCTTCCCAACGGCCCCTGCTGAATCCGGAGGTTCCCATCAGCCTCTCTCGGCCCCCCCCCCCTCCACCTTCCTCACCTTGATTGTTTTCGTCTGGAGCTTGAGTCCGTTCAGGGTGTTGATGGCTTTGTCGGCGTCGTTGGGGTCCACGTAATTGACGAAGCCGTAGCCTAGACTCTGTCCTGGTGGTGGGAGAGGACGAGAAAGACAGGTTACAGCGGAAGGCAGACCGGGCAAGGAAGGAGGGAGAAAGATTCCTTTGACGCCAGAGAAAAAAGAGAACAAATATTTATTTATTTATTTAGATTTTTCTATACCGCCCTCCCCAGATGGGCTCGGGGCGGTGCCCAACACTTAAATAATACAATTAAAGCAATATTAAAATAACAATTTACACATAAAAGATCATAAAGTATCTTAAAATACCACGTGACTATAGCAGTAGTCAGATAACCAATCAGAATATGGCGACTGGTGGACAATTGGCGGGAAAAAGCTGGGCAGAGAAGCTTGGGGGGGGGCACGTCCACTGCCTCAACCAAATGCCTGGCGGAAGAGCTCCGTCTTGCAGGCCCTGCGGAACTGCAATAGGTCCGGCAGGGCCCTGATCTCACACGGGAGCTCATTCCACCAGGCAGGGGCCAGGGCTGAAAGAGCCCTGGCTCTGGTCGAGGCTAGCTGGACGTCCCTGGGGCCAGGGACCACTCACAGATGTTGATCTGTGGACCTCAGTGCCCTCCGGGGCTCCTATGGAGAGAGGAGGTCTTGTAGGTACACTGGCCCCTGGCCGTAGAGGGCTCTAAAGGTCAGCACCAGCCCCTTGAAATGGATCCGGAATCCAATAGGCAGCCAGTGCTGTGCAGGGCAGGGCATGTCCTTCAAGCCAATGTTGCAACGTGAAGCTATCAGGAATCACAAAACTGAGAAACCTGCGGGGGAACACTTCAGCCTTCCAGGACATTCAGTGGGTGGCCTCAAGGTAGCTGTTTTATTACAAAGGAACTTCAGAAACAGAATGGAAAGGGAAACTGCTGAATGACAAGTTATTACAACACCTAGAACAAAAATCTCCCCCAGGACTCAACAGGGATATTGGTTTCTTATCTCATTGCATATGCTAACTCATTCAGTCCTCACATATGTATTCTCAACAGGAAGGACTATATATATTTTAGTGTACTTCTTTTTCAGAAGAGTATATTAGCATACTGGATGTAACACCAGGAATATTGAAATGTTTTGCTGACATACCACTGCACACATCTCAAAAACAAAAGAAAAAAAATGCTGTTAAATTACCTCCAAGCCTGAGGAGACGAATGGTCGGTCTCCCTTCACTTCCCACAATTAGAAAAGAGGCCTTTTCACATTTATCCCCTATTTTGACATATTTATTGCTTTGCTGTCCTTCCCCCCTTTAATTAAATCAAAACAACTGTCGACCTTATAACCTCAGCTTGTTATTTAGTTTTGTTTCTGCATCTCTTAAAGCATCTTCATCACATTACATGTTAATGCCCTGTTCGGCCTCTGTTTATAAGTTTGAACTCTACCTTCCATTCCAATGTATTTGAAAAAGGGTGCCATGCACGCCACAGCTCATACCTTGAATAAACCTCTGTTGGTCTTAAAGGTGCCAGGGGACTGCATTTGTTCTACTGCTTCAGACCAACACAGCTGACCACCTGGAACTAGCTTAAAACAAATAAAGGTTTACAACAGATGCTACGTCAGCAAAAGACAGAAGAGACCCCCTCACTTCTGCAGGAGTATACCGCATACCATGCAGTTGTAGACAAGTTTACATCGGGACCACACAGCGTAGCGTTCAGACAAGAATAAAAGAACATGAAAGACACTGCAGACCTAACCCAGACCCTAACCCTAACCTGAAAAATCAGCAGTGGCTGAACATAGCCTGACTCAAACAGGACACAGTATTTTGTTCCAAGACACTGAAAGGCCGGACAACACTTCCAATTGCCATGTCAGATTACACAGGGAAGCCATTGGAATCCATAAACATAAACACCATTTCAACAGGAAAGAAGAGAGTTTAAAAATAAATAGGGCATGGTTTCCTGTCCTGAAAAACACAAAAGGCTCTACGTAGGACAGTAGCACTACAGATAAGATTAGAATTTCATCAGCCAATCCATATGCAAAAGAACCTCCTCAGGAAACAGGAAGCCTCCTCAGGAAACAACCCGTATGCAAAAGAAAAGAACAGGAAAGCTCCTCCATTAGCATGTTTTCAAAGCCTGGGGAACTCCAACAAGATAATGACTCAGCCCTACCCCACCTTCCTGAGTAGATATAAGTTACCTGCCTACCATTTTTCTTCTCACCTTGACACAGAGAGTCCTCCACCTTTCTGTGTTATACCTCTGAGGATGCCAGTCAAAGCTGCTGGTGAAATGTCATGCCCTACAATGCCAAGACCACAGGCAGACAGCCCAGAAAATCTACAACAGCTAAAGGTTGAGTTCTTCCCCCCTTCCGAAAACTGATGACATTTCTAAATTGGAGCTCTGTCAAATCCAGCATTTGAATGTTTGATGTCTGGAGCAGCTGAAGAAGGAAGATATGGTGGGAGCGGGGCTGGGGGTGGAGGACTGCAGGAAAGGCTCCGCTGGGCAGTTTTTGCCTCCGCCCTGGGTCCTGCGGCTGACCTCACGAGGCCCCGCCACGGAAGGCTCAGGCCTCACGTCCTGGAGGAGGCAGAAGCTACAAGGGCCTTCTCTTGCGACACTGGTGAGACACAGGCCCAAATAGTACCAAGGGGTACGGCTGCAGGGGACTCATAAGATCATAAGAAAACGTAAAAGAAGCCAATGTTGGATCAGGCCAGTGGCCCATCCAGTCCGACACTCTGTGTCTCACAGTGGCCATAAATACCAGGTGCCCTCAGGAGGCCCAGCAGTGGGGCCAGGAGGACACTAGAAGCCCTCCCACTGTTGATCCCTACCCCAAGCACCAAGAAGACAGAACATCCCTTGCCCCAGACATAAGAACATAAGAGAAGCCCATGTTGGGTCAGGCCAATGGCCCATCCAGTCCAACACTCCGTGTCACACAGTGGCCAGAAACACCAGGTGCCCTCAGGAGGTCCAGCAGTGGGGCCAAGACACTAGAAGCCCTCCCACTGTTGCCTTCTCCCCCAAGCACCACAGAGCATCCCTTGCCCCAGACATAAAAACATAAGAGAAGCCAGTTTTGCACCAGGCCAGTGGCCCATCCAGTCCAACACTCTGTGTCACACAGTGGCCAAAAACACCAGGTGCCCTCAGGAGGCCCAGCAGTGGGGCCAGGAGGACACCAGGAGCCCTCCCACTGTTGCCCCCCCCCCAAGCACCAAGAACACAGAGCATCCTCAGTACTTGGTCCACTGCTTTTTAACTTGTTCATTAATGATTTGGAGATGGGAGTAAGCAGTGAAGTGGCTAAATTTGCGGATGATACAAAGTTGTTCGGGGTGGTGAAAACCAGTGAGGATTGTGAGGCACTCCAAGGGGATCTGTCAAGGATGGGCGAGTGGGCGTCAACATGGCAAATGGGGTTCAATGTGGCCAAGTGCAAGGTGATGCACATTGGAGCCAAAAATCCTAAATATAAATACACGTTGATGGGGTCTGAACTGGCAGAGACTGATCAAGAGAGAGATCTTGGAGTTGTAGTAGATAACTCACTGAAGATGTCGAGACAGTGTGTGACTGCAATAAAGAAGGCCAATGCTATGCTGGGGATTATTAGGAAGGGTATTGTAAACAGATCAGCCAATATCATAATGCCGCTATATAAATCAATGGTGCGACCTCATTTGGAATACTGTGTGCAGTTCTGGTCACCACACCTTAAAAAGGATATTATAGCTTTGGAAAAAGTGCAGAAAAGGGCAACTCGAATGATAAAAGGGTTGGAACACTTTCCCTATGAGGAAAGGTTAAAGCGCTTAGGGCTCTTTAGCTTGGAGAAACGACGACTGAGGGGTGACATGATTGAGGTTTATAAGATTATGCATGGGATAGAGCAGGTAGAGAAAGAGGTACTTTTCTCCCTTTCTCACAATACCAGAACCCGTGGGCACTCCATGAAATTGCTGAGCGGTCGGGTTAGAACAGATAAAAGGAAGTCCCTGTTCACCCAAAGACTGATGAACACGTGAAATTCACTGCCACAGGAGGTGGTGGTGGTGGCTACAAGCATGGATGGTTTCAAGAGGGAATTGGATCATAAACGTATGGAGCAGAGGTCCATCGGTGGCTATTAGCCACAAGGTATAGATAGGAACTCTCGGTCTGGGGGGCAGGTGATGCACTGTATTCTTGGTGCTTGGGGGGGGCAACAGTGGGAGGGCTTCTAGTGTCCTGACCCTGCTGCTGGACCTCCTGAGGGCACCTGGTATTTCTGGCCACTGTGTGACACAGAGTGTTGGACTGAATGAGCCATTGGCCTGATCCAACATTGGATTCTCTTATGTTCTTCTGGAACTGGGGCAAGGGATGCTCTGTATTCTTGGTGCTTGGGGGGGGGGGCAGTGGGAGGGCTTCTGGTGTCCTGGCCCCACTGGTGGACCTCCTGAGGGCACCTGGTGTTTTTGGCCACTGTGTGTGACACAGAGTGTTGGACTGGATGGGCCACTGGCCTGATCCAGCATTGGCTCCTCTCCTGTGTTCTTAGGGCAGTCCCTCCAGGACTAGCCGTTTTATTTCGGCGTCTGGCCTGGTTTTCCAGGACGCCCAAGACAGAGGAGCCCCACCACCCCGAGCTGGAAGGAGGCTTGTTTCCCTCCGTGTGCTTCCATCCACACGTCTTGGCCTCCCCCACACACCCCCTTGCCCCAGGAAACAGAGGCCTTCCGGGATGTCTTGGTCTGAACTTCCTGTCCGCCACCTCTCCGCTTCTGCTGTTAAGTAACACTGCAATGTTGTACATCTCTCTCTGTCTGCCCGCTAAATGTAACACTTCACACAGCTAATGAAGTAGGCTCCTGCTCACAAAAGCCCATGCAAAACTAAATTTATTTGTCTTTATGACAACACAAGACTTCTCCTCATTTTGGCTGCAAGAACTGCGGGGGATGTCATACTGTACTGGCCATTCCCCAAACAAGGGAAGTTAGTCCTTGAGGCACTCCACTTGTCACTCCTCTCCAAGAAGATGAGGAACCGTTCACAAGCAC